GCGGGGGGGAGGGGAGAAGATGATACACCTGGAAGGTGGGAACGGGAAACAAGAAGCGTGCTGGGGTATTTTCCCGGTTTCTTATTATTTAATGTTTCCCTTTGCTTGCCTTTCGTTCTTGATTAATTAATAAATGATTTGTGGGCTTGTTTCATTTACTATAGGCCGCCTTTCTCCCCATAAGAGGACTCAAGGCGGCTCGCGGTGTTAAAATAGTAAAAACATATTATAAATTAGACATTTAAAAAAAAACAATGAAACGATATGATGATTTAAATACGATTGAATAATTAGAAGGAAGTAAACATCAAAACTATCATCACTGTTAAAAACCTGCGTAAAAAGGTGGGACTTGAGCTATGGACGGGAGGATAAAACAAAAGGGGCCAATTTGATCTCCTCAGAGAGAGGGTTGGGGGACTTGAGCTATGGACGGGAGGATAAAATAGAAGGGGCCAATTTGATCTCCCCAAAAAGAGCGTTAGGTAACCTGGGAGCTACCACAGAGAAGGCCCCCTCCCGTGTCCCCATCAAATATGTCTGTGCTGGCGATGGGACCAACAAGAAGGTGCCTCTTCGGATGCTGTTAAGTGGCAAGAAGGCTCATATGGGGAGATTGGACCCTTCAGATAGCCTGGACCCCAGCTGCATAGGGCTTTAAAGGTAACCACGAGCGCTTTGAATGGGGCCCAGAAACTGACTGGTAGTTGTTGGGAATTGAGGGGAATTTGCATAGCACTAAGTTGGATGGTACAGTATACAAAATAGACATGAAAGCTTCATATTTATCTCCAGGGGAGACAAATATGAAGCCTCACCAGCACAGATGTCGTGGCGGTCCATTCCTGCCCCCCAGAACCAGCCTGTTGCACTCACTGGGTTCCTCAGCACATACCAGCACAGATGTCGTGGCGGTCCATTCCTGCCTCCCAGAACCAGCCTGCTCCACTCACTGGGCTCCTCAGCACGTGTGCCTGGCGGCAGTGACATCACACCAATTGTGGATGTACTCCTACTGGCGCTGCCCCACCTCTCCCCTCAGCGAACCGCTCAGCACCGGAGCAGGGAGACGTGTGTTCTCGCCTCCTTGCTGGAGTGGTCAGCTGTGGGGAGAGGCAAGGCAGCACCAACAGGACTTCGTCCACCATTGGTACAATGTCACAGTTGCTGGGCATGCACGCTTGCCAAGGAGCCCTGTGAGCGACTGGGCTGGTGGGAAGGGACCAGCGGGACACCTGTGTTGGCGGGCTTTGTATTTGACTTCCCTGGGAGACGATTATGAAGCTCCCATGTCTAAAACTTTAAGTCAGTCAGTAAGTTAGGTAAAGGTTCCCATTGACATTTAGTCCAGTCGTGTCCGACTCTAGGGGGTGGTGCTTATCCCTGTTTCCAAGCCGTAGAGCCAGCGTTTATCTGTAGGATCTCTAAGAGCTGAGCTATTTACCTTCATCATTTGATTGATCGATTATTTATTTATTTATCTACATATTGATTTGTGATTTCCCCCCCTATCTTTAGGTAGGGGTATTTTAGGAGGCTTTTTATTTCCCACTCAAATGTATTCTAAAACATTTTTTTCATCTAATTTACAAATATTTTTGTATACCTCTCCAGATTTATCGGGTTCTCCCATTTTGAAACTACAATCTTATTTTTATGTACCTCTCTATTTATAGATATTCAAGCCACCTAACTTCCTTCTTAACAGGAGCTGTAGCCACATGTTGGCACGGGAGGAGTCCCATGCTGTACTCCAGCTAGCCATGTTCTCCTCCAGGGCATTTAATCCATTCTTTTTTTTGGTGGTCTGTTTGTGTGCGTGTGTGCACTTTTCTTTTTCTTTTTCTTTTTCTTTTTCGTGGTCTGTTTGTGTGCGTGTGTATGATTTGCGGTTACACTGAGCACATTCAGTTCTGATTTGCTTAGCTTGGGACGGTTGTTGTTTTATCCCGCTGGAGGAACAAGTTCTGTAAACCATGGGCTTCCCCCCATTATGCTGATACCTCCTTGTTATTTCTCAGCAGCTCCATCTGGCTTACAAAATATAATGGCTTGCTTCCAACAGTGCAAAGTGTCAACAAACAATGCTGCATTTGATCTAGATCATAGCAATGGCCAGAGAGTGCCAGGAGTTGTCCGTAGGGAACACCTTGTGCAAGAAAGGGACTTGAGCTTCTGAAGGTAGAGCCTCCTGTTTCCTTAAGATGCCCTAAGGAATCCTCCTGACTCACTGTCTGACTCACCAAGTGTATATAAGATGGGCACAGAAGGAAAGGTGGCACAAAACAAGAGTAGACAAGGTATTCCTGACTTTCCGACAAGAGGTTCCTTCCCCCTCTGCATGCAAATCCTTCCATAAACAATGGAGAAACTGTCCCAACTCTACTCATAGCTGGAACCCTCTGCATTACTGGCAAAGGGTTTTGGATGGCTCACAAAGTAAAGTGCCAAGCTAGCAATCCCCATTATTGCAAGCAAACATATGTAGCCACAACATAACGCTATACCTATGAGCCAGCGAGAAGCTGGCAGGGGGTGCCAACGAAGGGGACATTCAAGGCATGCTGTTGCTGGCTAGATTCTGAGGGTGGATCTGACTCAGCCCCACACCTCTAATGTAGCTACCAGTTGGAAGAAGATCAACAGAGTTCTGTGACACTTTCAAGTCCAACCCATTTATAGTAAATAAACTTTAATTGATGGGTGCTGTGTTTGTCAAAGGCAGAACGCAATTGGTGAAAGTGATAGTTATTTTCATGGGAAACTGGGATAACTGTGGCAAGAGAAAACGACTTTGCAAAACTGAGATTGAAATACAGTACTGTGTAAGTCAAATGCAAATATCCTACTGTACTTAGGTTGGAGTAAATTCCACACTGACCTTTGTGTGTGATCTTCTCATTAAAAAGTGCATATTGAATCAGTGTTAAGCACCAAAGCTTTGGCTGAATTGTGTCCTTTGTTTTTATTTTCTTGGCATATCAGATACTGGCTTAGATCCACCTGTATTCCACTTAGTAGTCATTCTGTTAGTTGTTGGCTGAAATCTGGTTGCACCGCTCTGCTTGCAAAGAGTGGGAAATCACTGCAGATTAAAGGTTTGCTTTGGCCATTTTGGGATGCACACGACTCCTACACAATGCAACAAAGTCGAATGCACCCTGAAATTGCCAAAGGAAGCCTGGCTGCTGCTGCTGTTGTTCCCACTGCACAGGTAGAGCTGCAGAGCAGGTTTTCAGCTACTGAGTTACTTTTGAGATGTAACAAAAGGAAAGCTGTGGATTCTCCCAGATGGGCTTTATTCCCAGAGAATGGGACTTGATGGGTTTCATGGTACTTTAAAAAGACGCTTCTTTTGAAACCTCTTCTTTGCAAAGCAAAACCATGCAGTACTTCCAAAAATTCTTCAAACATACTCCCTGCCAATGCTTTTCTTTTTCTACTGGTTTTGCTGATTTTGTACTTAACCAAAAGCGTTTAAGCAGGGAATCTGACCGTGCAATGAACTTCCACCCACTTCCAATCCATTTGCTGATCTCTAAAGAACATCTTAACCTCTTTGAACAATTTTTTTTTGGGGGGGGACCTAATTCTCTTTTGAGACTTTTGCTCTAGAGGTATTTTTGTTTTGTTTGTACTTTGAGAAATATATTGGAGCTTTTTGACTGAGAGGCTGCCAGAGTGCTAACGTCTGCCCCGTCACAAAGCTGAGGGATTAAAAACAACCATGCCTGGCAAGAAAACTTGAGAAGTTTCAGTTTTTGTCAGCCTTTGGCATTGCAAGCATCACTGGGATACTAGAAAAAATATTGATATAATCACTATGCACAATCAGGTATCAGAGAGAAAAATACTTTTTCTGGAAGACCCCTTGTTGCTCAAAGCTTGTTCTGAGATGCAGGTTAATGATGAAGCCCTATTAACTCTGTTGGACTTAGATGCCTTGTTCTGAATGTTCAGCCTCAAGAAAACTGCTTTTCTAAACACAATATGCAACCAAAGCAAAATGACACTCTGGAGGGGAGCTAACTTCTCTCCATTTGTAGGCCCTGTTTAATAACCTATTTTTCAAGGCAGTTCTTGTCTTTCCCCAGCCTGTTGTTTGATTTAGCTTTAATCCTTGACCTTTCTTCCCAACAGCTGCTTCAGTCATCTTCTTTTTTCCTTTTTAACTAATTAGCAGAACATTTGCCATGTTACTGCTTTGAGAAACTTCCCTAGGTCTCTAAACCTGGTTAAAAATCAACTCACTGGAGTTTTACAGGGGGTTTCTATGTAAACTACTTGATCTTCTAATCCTAAAGTATGTTTATTTGTAATATCAGTGTGATCTACTTACCAAGAGCTGTAGCTGGTCTTAACAGTTGCATGGGTCTGCCTTTTCAGTTGTATAACAAAAACTCAGTTGATGATCTCTAACATGCCAATAAAGGATGAGCAAAGAGGTTTGATAAGTGACATTTTTGCTGACAAATAATATAGGAGCATTTATTTATAGATAAATCAATGGTGGTAGTGGAGCTGTCTCATTTCTCCCTCTTGCTACAGCCAGGAAGATGATAAACCATAAGAAATACTCAACAGCACAAAAGGTCTTCTTGTAATAAATTTTTTTAATGAGAATAAAATTCTTTTTTTTTAAATTCTGAAATATATTTGGACACATGCTGCTTCAAGTGAACAAGGCAATGACAATCAAATACTAGCAGAGTTTTCCCAGAGTTTTGACTTATTTCCCCATAAGATTTTGTGCTTAGAAGAAGACACTCTTAAAGTGGCTTATTAATCAGATCAGCCAAAGCTGCAAGATGAAGTACTATACAGTATTAAATACACATGATTACAGTACCAGATGTATTGAAATTACTGGATAATCTATGTCTTTTTTCTCCTTCATGAACTGCTTCCATGTAATCAGTGCAGTATGCTGATAGAACTGCAGCCCCCCTGTTTTGTTTTCCATCTTAGAGACAAACTACGTATAATGCTAAATGTGTCACCAGGAACCATGTCAGGTCTTTAAACAATAGCAGCAGGCACAATTTGGCAGCAGACAAGGAGGAAATGGTTAAGTCCTGCCTCTCCCACTGCAGTCCTCATCCTCTTCCACCTTGTGTTAGCTGAAAAGCTCTAGCAAAAGCACAAGGGTTACTCCCCACCTGCAGAGCTCTTAGCAACAGAGAGGGCAGCTTTTCATTGGGATGGCAACATCGGCAACATGTTGCAGTTCTGACAAAACAAGTGTCTTCCTTTGCGGCAGACACCCTTTAAAAACATCCAACAAGGTACCTAGTGAGGCACACACATGCACATACACACACAATCACACATGCTTTTGCCCTGAATCTTGGCCAGTTTTCTATAACCCTTGCTCAGTGCATCAATGATACATTCAATTATTCACAAAGCAGACAATGTTCATATGAAGTGGCACTTCAAGAACATTTTTAAAGGAGTTCCCCTTGGTAGCCCAAGAAGATTTGTAAACCTCCCAATTCCCTATCAAATTTACATATATATATAACGCTAAAGACTCATACAATCTGAAAGTAAATTAAGCAAGAAGTGCATGCAGCTGATTCCTTTCAGAACCCACCAAGTATTACCTAAGCATTCCAGAAAAATATAACCATTCTTAGTGAAATGGATGCAAATGTGCATAGCAAACAAACAGGCCATTTTGGGGTAGGAAAATGGGAAGGAAAGCATCGGATGATAGATACAGGCATGGGGGCGCTATCTGCACAAGACTTTGTGTGATGAATACGTTCTATGAGAGATCTGCTTGCTCTCTTGACCCAGTGTTTCATCCATCAGTGAATAATTGTAAAGATCAGTGAGTAATTGTAAAGCCCAATCTGGCTTTCGCTGTGCCCCCAACAATTTGGCTGTTTGATCCCTATGGATACTGTATTTTAGCAAAATTCCATCTATGCTGTTTAACCGCCTGCTTGAAATGTTAGAATTGTTGGCAATTCTGGCAAGAAAGAAACAATTCATTATGCCACTCGGAAGTGAGAATGGGTGTCAATGAATGGGAAGAAAGAAGGAAGGGAAATGAAGTGCCTGGACCATTAGGAAATTATGCATGGAGTAATGCAATTACACTACACAATTAACTAATAATCCAGAGAGATATTCATATTAGAAATTGACTTCCAACTCCCTGTCTTGACTAGATCTATCAGCCAGGCTAATGTACGTATGGTATTTGGCTACTGGCTTAACCCCCTAGCTAATGGGTTCTGTGTGGCATCATGAGACAGACTAAAAAAAAAACAAGGCACAAAGCTCTACATTCCATAAGCAGAATGAAATCCAGATCCAAAGAGTCTCACATATATATTTTTAAGAGGCAGTATTCTGTTTTGATATTTAAAGAGAACTTGCCAATAGATAATCTAATTCCTTTAATATCTCTTTTATACTCTGGGTTATTTACCTCCAGAGGTTTCAGATACAAGCTCAAGACTGAGGACTCATCTAGGAGCCATTTATACATTAGGATACCTGCCCCAGCCACTATGTATCTGTGAGATACATGAAGACACAGGTATCTGCAGAAGGCGGATACCTGATGAGAAGTTGGAAAAGCTACCTTTTTGGATTTCAAGACCTAGAGTCTCCGCTCTAGAAATCATGGCCACCAGCACCAGAGTTCATTAGCTGTTCTGATTGGAGAATTCTGGGAGTTGGGTGCCAAAAGTTAAAAAAAAAAACAACTTTCCCAAGCTCTATACATAGCGCTCTCGTGCCTTCAATCAGATGCCTCTTAACATTCAGGATTTGTTAGCACCACAAGATAAAAAAATTATGCCAAAGTCAATGGAAAAACTCCAGCTGACTTCAGCTTATAAAGAAAGCCTTTAACCCACCTTCAAAATAACCCAGTACAGCACTTTAATGGTGGAGCTTCTCAAGAACCGACAACCCAGTGTTTGAATGGCAAGTTGCAATACATATTAGCAAGAGTCTGACTGACCAAACCAGTGTTACAAAGCAGACATCAAGTTAGTTAACAAGCATTAAAAGAAATCAAAGAAAATTCAGAACGTTGCATTTATTTCTGACACTAGCGTCATTATGCTAATGTTAAGGGCCAAGGTCTGTTTGGTGTGCTGTTCTCACAGAGACTACAAGGTAATTGGAGAATATGACCAAATTCTCATTGTAAATCAGAAGATTGTATTTACATTCATCCAGTTTAATCTCTGGTATGGTGTCTTGGTTTAAGCTGCCAGGGCCTATAGTTTTCCAGAACAATACCAATTATTTTTGACAGATATTGTTAAAAGGATGTGTGATCACAGAGATAATGTTATGTTAATCTCCCAAAGTTAAAGCACCAGAGTTCTAGAGTTCCATGCAGAAATAGGCCAAAACTTGTGTGTGTGTGTGTGTGTGAGAGAGAAAGCTCTCCTTGTGTGTATCAAATATCCTGTTCTTTATTCTGTTAGTAGCATTGTGTAAGTAGTAATTTACTCGTAATACCAGGGACCAGGGCTTACAGTAGTCTCCCGTCTGACAAATTGACCAGAACTATATTTCTGTAACTTCTCCAGAGCTGTGGAGTCATATTCTCCCACTTTTGCTACCACCCACTGACCCTAAAAGCCCTAATATTGCAACTTGTGAAGTGAATCCATGTAATGAAGGATTGCTCCCAGGGCCCAGCTGGTTTCAGTGTTGTTGATCTTTCGAGCAAGCTAGAAGGAAAAGAAACACAAAGGATACTATAAACTGAAATAGTTCTTTCAGCTGTTCCTCATATTCACTTGATTTATCTGTCTTTCATGACTGTAGCTGTATCCATGAACTGATTCCATTAAAAAGCACAGGATCTTAGGTGATCTGTTAGTCGTTCATGATAAACCCTTTATACACTTAATACATCTACTTATGCTGTAGTTAAAATGTTGAACATGCAAATGTGAACCAGCATTCTTTGCAATATAGTGGAGATTCAGATCTGGTCTTATTTTCACTTTGTTACTAAGAAAAAATTTGCTTCCTTAGGCTCTTGGTTTTCATAATGAGGGCAGAAAGAAAATATTTACTAATCTGATTTATAACCTACCTTTCTTCAATGAATGGGATTCAGACATGTACAATTAAACATGCAAATACATAAAACGTACAACAAATACAAAATAAAAATAAAAATTTACAACACATTAATAAAGAGAAACACAGCATCATCCATTAAAAAACCCCCTCCTCTACCAAGCAGAGCTACTTGCCATAATTGCAGTGTTTGAAATCTGTTTACAATATGCAAAATTTAAAGTTGTGCAGTAGAGCCTAATTGACATTTTATAAATGGGAAGACTTAATTATGTGCTCAGAAGAGGTTTTGTGTATTTTAAAGTCAGAGTGCAAGTAACATTACAGTATCAGTTGTCCTTTAAGAACATAGGTCTAACCTGCCCTATAGAGGTTCTCCAACCAGTTGTACAGTATTGGCTCTTGTCTTTCCAATGGACCATTTCAGCAACATGGAGAGGGGAGATCTGCTGCTTGGGTAACAACCTATCCTCCATATTACTTTACCCAGGCTTCATGCTCTGGAGAGGACACTTCTCGATACAGAGCATGTTACCATAGTCTCTCGAGACTGAAGGATGCCTATGAGGCAGCCTATGATAATCTCTAGAGAAGCCCTGCCCCTCTGAGGTCTCCTTCTTCTTCCCCAAACTCCATTCCTAGAAGTTATCCTGGAGGAAAGCTTTAGAACTCCATTCCTAGAAGTTATCCTGGAGGGAAGCTTTAGTATCTCCAAATAGTGATGCATTACTGGCTCAGTCCCACACTGAGCCAAGGCTTTGCCAGGAACTACAAGTACTGACTACATATAATGAACGAGGAAAGAAAATTTAAGCTGGTTCTCCAGATGGCCATGTCCTCAACGTCAGACACCCTAAGGAGGACTCATTTACCTTTCCTCACTTCTTTTCTAGCCATAGCTTCCTATGACTACCTAGTGATCAGCTTGACCATGAGGAAAACTGAGTGATGACCAACTGAATTCAAGAACCACATGGGCAGTAAGCAAGGGTCATATGTGGCTTGCAGGGCTACAGGCCATGAACCCTCTACTTCAACCTATGACCTTCTCTCAGGATGTGAACATGGAAATTCTGAAAGAATAAATGAGATTTTTTTTGCACAGCACATAATGGCTTCTTCAAAATTGCAGGACTACATTGATGCAAGTTCTTGGAGTTCATCATGAGAACGCATGATTCCCTAGAAAAGCCAATAATGGTGGGAAAGGTGGAAGCCAGCAGGAAAAGAGGAAGACCAAATATGAGATGGATTGACTCCCTAAAGGAAGCCAGAGGCTTGCGTTTAAAAGAGCTGGGCAGGGCTGTTCCAGACAAGACCTTTTGGAGATTGCTCCTTCACAGAGTTGCTGAGCTGGAGACAGCTTGACAGCACATAGCAATAATAACTGGGGCAAAAACTGAGGCAATTGTTTATTCATATTCTCAAAACTGAAGAAACTAATTTGGATATAAATTTGTTTTGCTGGACATTCTTGGAACAAAAATTTGGATTTTTAAAAAACTAAAGTTACTTTCAGATCCAAGTACTGTAGTTAAGCATAATTATAGTATGAGTTAGGCTCTTTGGAAAACCTAGATCTTCTAACAGCAAACTGATATACCATATTTTTCCGTTTATAAGATGACCCCACACAGAAGAAAACATCCCCCCTTTTCTAACCCCAAATTAGAAAATTTGATACCTGCTTTTCCCTTCCTTTTGCTAAGCCACGTGGCTTTGCAAAAGGCAGGGAAAAGCGGTGGTCAAAGTGACTGCCACTTTTCCCTGCCTTTTGCGAAGTACTGCTCCCTTTTAGCTAAGCCCCAGGGCTTCGCAAAAGGAAGGGAAAAACAGTGGTCACTTTGACAGCTGCTTTTCCCTGCCTTTTGCGAAGCCACAGAGCTTAGCAAAAAGGGAAAAGCGGCGGTCGAAGGGCTGCAGCGGTGGAGGCAGTAGCAGCAGGAAGAGGCGGAGACTACCTTCTTTGCCTCACTCTCCACCTCCCACTGCTGCCTTCCGTGTATAAAATGACCCTCAATTTTTCCTCTATTTTAGGGAAAAGTGTCATTTTATACACTGGTTCTTAACCTTGGGTTACTCAGTTTTGGACTGCAACTCCCAGAAGCCTTCACCACCAGCTGTCCTGACTGGGGTTTCTGGGAGTTGCAGTTCAAAAGCATCCGAGTAACAAAGGTTAAGAACCACTGATTTTATACATGGAAAAAATATGGTAGATTATGAGCCTCCTGGCACAGTGGTTAAAATGCTGTACTGCAGCCAAAATTGTGCTTAGGACCCAGAATTCAATCCCAAGTAGCGCTGCCCAGAGAGTGCTTGGAGCACTATGGGGCAGTGTATAAGCAGCATGCTTTTAGGTTAGAATATAAATTGATTTTGTTGGCCATCTTTGGAAGAAAAATATGGATTTTTTTTAAAAAAACACTAAAGTTTCTTTCAGATCTAACATACTGTCGTTAAACATAATTACCGCAAGAGTATGGCTCTTTGGAAAACCTAGCTCTTCCAACAGCAAACTGATATAGGTGAGATCCATGCAGAGAAAAGGATGTTCTCCTCGTTGAACCTCCATGGATTTGCACACTTTGGAGAACAAAAAAAAAGAAAAAGAAAGATGTAAAAATCAGATGGTATTGTTAGTATCGGCCATTTCCCTGAGATAGGGACTTTATCTTCTTAGGCATGCACTTTATTTATTAGGCATGCAAGATCCCCTGGTGGACTAAAGCTTTGGAGTCAATGCTTTTTGATGCTTTCCAACCAAAAGCCAGGTTATAATCAAGCAGCAAAAGCTTACCATTCTTTGCAGCAGTTTCAAAGTCACCGACTGCCAGGGTCCCTCCTTTTTCACCATCTAGAGAGAAAAAGGGGAGTAAGTTTTAAAAATGGAAAATAGAAGAATTGTGCAGGTATAACACTCTATGGGAATTCTAAATAGTTAACAAATGATTATCCAAACATTAAAAGCCATATGCATTTCAAGCTGCGTGTTGTGGTTTTGTTTTTATCCAGCTGGTAGATATGTGTCTGAGTTTGACAGAGGGGGCTTACATGACTCAGTATTTCTCACCCCCACACAGAAGATTAGGATATGGCTTTCTACATGGAGGGACATTTCATATTGTGACGTCTCCACCATAGCTTAATGCCAATGTGTTGTAACGAATATTTTAGACTTGGACCCAGGAGTTCAGTTCTACACTCAGTCCCCTCAATCACAGAAATTCTGTGGTGGGGAGTCAATAACAAACTACTCCTTGACTATCCCACATACCTTGAAAACCCTAGTAGGGTCAACCATATGTTGAAACTAGAGACGGACACAAACCTCAGTTTGGAGATTCATACCGGTTCATACACATGGCACCACAAGTGCTGTGTGTTCCCTTTCCCCGCCTCCCCAGCCAATGACCCGTTCACCAGTCAGAGCATGCTCCTCTCCTCCTCCTCTTTGACTGTTCAACCAGACCCCGGTGGGAGAAGGGGCTTGCCTGTCATCCCTCCTTGTCTGAGTGGGTGGTCAGCCAAGGAGGCAGGGCAGGGGAGCCTGTGCTCCTGCTGGAGACTGGTCAAACAGCAAAAGAGGAGGAGAGGAGTGTGCGCCAGCTGGTGAGTGAGGGATCCAGCCAGGGAGGTGGGGGGAGGGAATGGATGCTACCTGCGGTGATTATATTGGCCATATGCCTCACAATTTATGTTGGACTGGGCACTGATGAACCTGAGTCAAAGCCTGGTGCTGCACGACATAAAGCTGAACACAGGGAAGCCCATTATAGAATTGTTTTTTGTTGTTTTTTTAGTTCCATCTTTTTTTGTTCAGCCATCAGGCATGGCTTAAATTTACTGCCATCCTCTTTGTCCCCTTTCTGCCAGTGGGATCACCTAATCTGAAGTAAAGGGATACCTGTTTTATTTATTTTTATTTATTATTAGGTTTTAATCCCGCCCTTCTAGACAGGAGTCTACTCAGGGCGGCTCACAATGTATTGCGCATATGGGGTATGAGTTCCCTTCAAGTAAGCACATTTTGTCTCCAAACCATTTGCTAACTCCTGCAAATCTGGACATCAACAGTGCATTCACTCAGGAAATCCCACCTTCCGTGGGTGTGAATCACAGAGGATCAACCCACATTTTTCCTGCAGTGTTGTTGCACCCCCAGTCAGTTTACAGTTTACAATATTAACTTGTAAAGGCAAGAAAGAAGGAGAAGAAGCTCAAGTACATCCCCCTTGCTCCCAACCTGTTACACCACATTTCTTCAAAGGTTTGCTACTGCTGACCAGATAAGTGACAAACCCCATTTTAGTCTCTTGCAGCAAACCCACTGAAGAGTCCTGTAGTGCCTTGAAAATCAACTCATTTCTTAGGTTTTAAGTTTTGAAGATTGGCCCTACTCAAAGACAGAACGCAGCCACTTCAGACAGGTCATTTTTAGTATCAAGAAAGGCAACCACTTGTTAAAAATTACAGTAACAACAAATTTTGCTGATCACCAAGGATAGAGAGATATGCTTATGGGATTTCCTGCTCTGTGTGTCAAAATGATCTGGCTTCCTTTGTGTACTATATGCCTTGACCTGTATTGTATGATGGGGGGGAAGGCATCATCCACTGTTCTGCTTCAGGCATCAAAATGTCTTGGGCTGCTCCTGCCACAATTGACTTTAGATGTACATGTGAGTTATTCTCAGTTGACAGATATACAAACAGACAAAAGGAGAATGGGGAATATTTTTACAAAGCTGGGCCAGGAAGGTCAGCAGTGCAAGACACAAAGTGTGTCCTATTACTATGAAGTGCAAAAACAAATGAATAAAACCTCATAGTGAAACAAAAAGGATTAATAATTAATTAATGCAATGGTCTAATTGCAATGGTAACAAATTAAGAAAGCAAGATGAACAACCCACATGAACAAGGGACACCTGTTTTCTGTAGTGAAAGTAGTGCCCACTGCAGATCTCATAAACTCTCACTTGACAGCTTCATCTACAGTCTTTCTTTACAGTAGGAGGGCACAATATTTTTGATCCCGAGGAATCAGATTGATCATCAAGACCAATCAGATGGGCCAGGTGGTGTCACAATGCATGGTTCTGCCCTCCAGTTTCCTCTCTCTGATGCGGCCTTGGTACATCTGTGCCCATTTCCAGTTTCTCCATGCAAAAACAGATAAGGTTCTTGAGTCTATGTTTGCAAAAAGTTGAGGATAAACCAGAGAGTCTATTCAACTCACTTAACTTTCTAAGTCGAAGGAGCCTTTTCTGGGCCCCACCCCCATCTGCTGGATTCAGATAATTCAGAGGGCAAATTAGGCCCACAAGAAGAAGTTCCCCCTTCCCTGCTTTACAGGATAACTCCAAATATATTTTTAAAAAGAGAAAGGTTTTGAAAATAAATATTGATGTGGGACTTAGTCATCATACTGAAATTAATGTCTGTTTTAGCATTTCTGTACACCAAAACCAACTTCATCAAGTATGTGAACCTTAATTAATGAATACTTTGCATGATTATAAAAACCAGTCATGCTTACCTATTAAACCAGCATCCACAGCCAAGTCATAATAATAGGAAAAAGCATAAAAATCCAAATCCTTTACTTCGTCTGTTTCGTGAACCTTCTTGCTGAGCAATTTTGCTATTTCATCTGAACATGATTCAAAGAGAGGCATTTCTGAAAAAGAGAAAAAAACATTTCAGATAATTCATCACTAAGAATGAAGGTCAAATATGTGAGGCTTGTTTGCTGTGTGTGCATGTCTATAAATTATGTGAATAATTTATAAAAGGTGTCAACTAGGAAGCATAAACAGTATTTAACAGAGGCACAAAATCCTGATATATTGTTTTACAGCCCAAATAATCACTGGCTTGTCAATGAGTTGGGTTATCTGGCTACTGAACTAGAGGTTGAGAGTTTAATTCCTTAGTTCCTGGGAGAAGATCCAGCCTGTTAGCTTTGGACAATATGTACAGTCCCGGGATGCTCCCATTAAGGTATCTCCCTCTGGATTATTTTCCTAGAACAGTGGTTCCCAACCTTGGGTAACCCAGGTACTTTTGGACTGAAATTCCTAGAAGCCTTCACTACCAGCTGTGCTGGCTGGGGTTTGGGGGAACTGCAGTTCAAGAACACCTGGGTTACCCAATGCTGGAAACCACTGCCCTAGAACATTTAGCCCGCCTCAAAAATGGTCCTTTAGACCATGGAAGTTGCCCAGCACTGCAGTAATCCTGAATTCTTCTTCATAATTTACTCCTAAATTGAACACCAGTGTCCCCAATTTCAAATCCCTTTAATTCTGAAGGTGCCATACTTTAGGGTTGTTGTTGTTGTTTAGTCGTTTAGTCGTGTCCGACTCTTCGTGACCCCATGGACCAGAGCACACCAGGCCCTCCCATCTTCCACTGCCTCTCGGCGCTTAGTCAGATTCATGTTGTTAGCTTCATTGAAGGCTAAATGTTTTAAAATATCCCTCCAAGTGACAGCATTTATTTCTCAAAGTATATACAGTGGTGCCTCGCTTAACGAGCGCTTCATTTAACAACGAATTTGCTTAGCGATGGCTTTTTCGGAGCGATCTTGCGCTCCGTTTAACAATGTGCCCTAATGGGCGATTTTCGCATAGCGATGTTTGGGACCATGCTTCGCATAGCGATGACAGTTTGGGTCCCCCTGTTTCACTTAACGATGGTTTTGACAGCCTCCTGTTGGCTGTTTTTTATACATTTAAAAATGTTTAAAAAATGTTTAGAATGCTTGAAGTCATAAGTGCACTTAATAAACCCTTTGTTAAACTAATTTGACTTTGTTCCGACTCTTTTTCAATTTGTTGTAATTTCCCCCCCCCCATTGAGATGCACTGAATAGGTTTCAATGCATTTCAATTGAGGAACCGCGTTTGGCTTAGCGATGTTTCCTATGGCGATTTTCGCTTAGGGATGGCAATCTGTTCCCATTGGAACAGATTATCTGGTTTTCAATGCATTTCTATGGGAAACAGTGTTTCGCTTAGCGATGTTTTCCCAAAGCGATGAATTTTTTGGAACCAATTAACATCGCTAAGCGAGGCACCACTGTACTTGGGTGCATCTATGCACATTGCATGGCTGGTTTGCTGGTAATGTTGAATCCAAATACCTCTGAAGGTGTCACAGTAAAAAACACAAACCTGTTATAAATAAAGTCTGCCTCCTGCAGGACTGTGCATGCTCTCTGCTTTTAAAAACATACAGTGGTGCCCCGCATAGCGAGGTTAATCTGTTCCGGATTAACCTTCGCTATGTGAAAACTTTGCTAAACGGAACGGGGAAGCCCATCGTATAATGCATTCCAAATGGGCACAAAACTCACCGTTTAGCGAAGTTTCCAGGGTCCAGCAGCCATTTTCGTGAAGGAGGGCGCGAAAACGCTGTGCGCGGCCATTTTGGGTGTCCAGCGGCCATTTTGAAACCACCGAACAGCTGATCTGCAGGCGTTGCAAAGCGAAGATTGGTAAGCGAAACGCTTACCGATCTTCACTATGCGAGTTTTGCCCATTGGGGCCGACGCTATGCCTCCGCATTAGCGATCCCGAAAACGGGATCGCTATGCGGATTCGTCGTTATACGGTGCGCTTGTTAAGCGAGGCACCACTGTACTTGCTGAAATCCTGTTATGATTTATACCTGTGGAAGGATGATGCCATCATTAGCAGGTGGTGCCTTTTGGTAATTAAAACCTTCCTACTTTTTTTCTGTGGCTTTTACGACTCCCCATGGGAGCGATGGGATGGAAGGAGGAGGTCATCACTTCCTCTATTATTTTGGGATCACAGACCCTCATTTCATTACTGAAAATTGCCACTGCCATATGACACAATTGAATTTCTGTAATTAAAGATTTCCCACTTCCTGGCTCATGGCTCTCCAAAGACTAAAAGGAGTCCACAAGAGTTGGAAAAGCCGCAGGACAGAAGCAGGTTTCAGTGACCAAAAATTGCCCCCTGCAGATGACATCATCAACCTTTGACAAGCATAGTTACACCAGAGGACTTCAGCCTGCACCAAAAAAAAACACTATTGCGCAACTTATAAATTATGCAAGCTGGTTTAAATTTTCATTTCACATAATTCATGTTGTTTCTGCTAGTTTATTTATATTCAAATTCCTTTTCAGTGTCCACTTGCCTCCCAAAAGAATAAAAGAAACAAATTGCAGAACAAATAAATCAGCATATCCTAAAATGGAGTTCATTTGATAAAATGCATAGAGCTTAACCACTGCCAATTTCAATAGCTCATTAAAATAAAAATGGTATTCCTGGCACTAAACTGGTTCCTCCTAAGTTTCCTGGGTGCGGACTTTCCACAGGCAAGAAAATACCACTAAATAGCAGCTTTATGTGCATAAACTCTGGCCCAGACATATGGCTGTGTGCTCAGGAAACAACACAGTGAAATATTCAATTGCCCTGTAGCTCCTTGTCAGAAGTCCTACTGAAGTTACATATCCTGGGTAGTTCTTTGCTTCTGTCCCTGCCAGTCTGCTCCTCCATCAGATCATTCCTGCACTAAGATACAGTATATAGTATATGTGACAATCTTATCTGGTTTACCCTGTTTGTTTGAAGGAAGGTAGGAGGTATGTAGGGCAAGAGTCCAGAAACTCAATATTATATATCAGATATAAGCAAAATATTATTCACACAATCCTAGCTATAGAGGAGATATAGTGGACCACAGAGAAGAACAGTTTCCATGATGAAGACTCTGACATTTGAAAAAAAGGCAGACTGAAACAAAAAGCCCATTTGTAAAGCCCATTAAATTAACAGAGATACTGAAACAAATGCATATTATTAAATGAAGATTTAACCATGTTACTATACCTGCCTTCTGCCCTTTTATTTTGTACATTATCTTGGTGTGCTCCCACTCGCCTTGGAAATCGGGTGACAAGCAGGGGCTTGCTAGTATTTCACCTTCTTTTACTAACGCAGGAAAAAAGAAACTGAGTCAGTAGAAACTACACGGAGGGCCTGTTTCTAATAAACAACGCATTTTTGCATGATTGTTGTGGGTTTTTCAGGCTCTTTGGCCATGTTCTGAAGGTTGTTCTTCCTGACTGGACTACTCTGAAGATGCCGGCCACAGAGACTGGCAAAACGTCAGGAAGAACAACCTTCAGAACATAGCCAAAGAGGCTGAAAAACCCACAACAACCATTAGATCCTGGCCGTGAAAGCCTTCACGAATACATTTCGTTGCATTTGATCAAAAGGCATGTTGTCAATACAACTTCACTCCTATTGCATGAGGACTAGATGAATCAATGGCTTTATTCATTCTGTGATGTTCGTCTTTTCCTTGTGTTTTAACATGTAGAGAAAGGAGGTGTATTTATATTTTTCTTGCTACTGGTTTTGATACAGTATTTGTTACTACACTGCTTCAAATACCTGTACTTCGCAAGTAAAGAAACTGACCAACGTATTTTACAAATAAAAAGAGAGATTATTTATTTATTTATCTTATATGCTGCCCACTCTACCCAAAGATCTCTGGGCAGCTTACAACAATTAAAATACAATTAAAAAGATAAAACAATTAAAATACAATTAAAATATATACTCTAAAAATAGCATGTTTTCTTACATTTCAGTGCAAAAGAGGTAGTCTTTATTAAGTGAATATTATAAATATGTCACTACCCCGGCTTAGCCTTTGGGAGTGTGAATGACAGAAATCAAAAGTAAATAACACTAATTACTTAATTACCTTGTGGCGCAGTGGTTAAACTGCTGTACTGCAGCCAAAACTGTGCTCACAACCTGGGATTCAATCCCAGGTAGCCGGCTCAAGGTTGACTCAGCCTTCTATCCTTCCGAGGTCGGTAAAATGAGTACCCAGCTCGCTGGGGTGGAGGCAATGTGTAGCCTGCATAATTAACTTGTAAACCGCTCAGAGAGTGCTTGAAGCACTATGGGGCGGTATATAAGCAGCACGCTTTGCTTTGCTTTAATATAAAATCCCACACGCATGGTTCAAGGAATGTGTATGCAACACTTACAGGCTTCTCCTTCAACACCTCCTAAAATGGCCAGTCTTGCTGACATCAATCCAAGTCCCAAGTAACTGGAAAAACAGATAAAAGCAAGATCAAATGAATACTGTGAATTGTTCTTATTGATTTTTAAGTTGTATTTGTTGAACACACAGAGGTGGGTTCAAACAGATAACACATATTATCTGTTGGACTTGGCAGCTACTGAATTTTGAGGATGTTAGAGAATTTCAAAGATTTTTTTCCCTCCAAGTCAAGAAAAGTTATCATTTTCTATCAAATGAGAGAGGTGTCTTCATGGTGTGGCAGATCCCTTGGAAGTCCAAATTTTATTTATTCATTTAATTTAAAATATTTTTACCCCTTTTCTCATTAAAAAGCACCCAAGGCAGCTTATATCATTAAAAGGCAATATTTAAAGCTAAAAACAAGTATACAAATATTGAAAAGGATCAAATAAATACCACTCTGAGAAATGGCAAAGACAAGTATACAAATATTGAAAAGGATCAAATAAATACCACTCACAGAAATGGCAAACAAAAGCAATGCTAAAAACACAAAGCAGTAAGGCGTAACAAACCATTTCAAAATCCAACTAAGCAGCCAGTCACTGAGGGAAAGTTTGCCTGAAGAGAAAAGTCTTTGCTTGAGGAAGGACAGCAATGATGATGTCAGTCGGGCCTCCTGTGGGAAGGAGTTCCAAAGTTTGGGAGCAGCAACAGAGAAGGGCCTCTCTTGTGTCCCTACCAAACACACCTGTGAAGGTGGTGGGACCGAGAGAAAGGCCTCTCCTGATGATCTTAACACCTAATCAGGCTCACAATGGGAGACATGATCTTTAAGATAGCTTGGACCCAAGCTCTTTAGAGCTTTATAGGTTAGAACCAGCATTCTGAAACGGATTGTAACAAGGGGCTTATGCGATCCCATAACCACAGCAATCCAAGAGCTTTATAGGTTAGAACCAGCACTCTGAAACAGATTGTAACAAGGGGCTTATGCGATCCCCATAACCACAGCAATCCAACTGCTGCTTTTCAGGCCTGCTGATGTTTCCTTACACTTTCCATAGGCAGCTCCATGAAGAGTACGTTACAGCAATCCAGCCAGGATGTAACTAAAGCATGTTTCACCGTGGCCAGTTCAGACCTCTCTAGACAGCAATCCAGCCAGGATGTAACTAAAGCATGTGTCACTGTGGCCAGTTCAGACCTCTCTATCACTGGGCCAAACTGGGACACTAGTTTTAATTGTACAAATACACTCATAGCCGCTGCCAAAACCTAGGTATCCAGGCTCAGAGACGAATCCAGGAGCACCTCAAAGCTGTGGACCTGTGTTTTCAGAAGAAGGGTAACTCCATCCAGCACAGACTGCATCCCTATTCTTTGAACTGCCTTTCAACTGACCAGGAGCACACCCTGGATTAAGTTTCAGTTTATTTACCCTCAGCCAGTCCATTACAGTGGTGCCTCGCTTAACAACAATAATTCGTTCTAGGAAAATCGCCGTTAAGCGAAAACATCGTAAAGCGAAATAAAAAAACCCATTGAAACGCATTGAAACCCGTTCAATGCGTTCCAATGGGGTAAAAACTCACCGTCCAGTGAAGATCCTCCATATGGCGGCCATTTTTTGCTGCCTGTATAGCGAGGAATCCATCCCTAAACACAGTGGGGAGCCATTTTAATTACCCGGTGGCCATTTTGAAACCGCCAATCAGCTGTTAGAAAAACGTCGTTTTGCGAAAAATCGGTTCCCGAAGCAGGGAACCGATCATCGCAAAGCAAAATTCCCCCATTTAGACCATCGTTTTAGACCAAAAAGGTCGTCGTTAAGTAGCGAAATTCCCCCATTTAGACCATCATTTTAGACCAAAAAGGTCGTCGTTAAGCAAATTCATCATAATGCGGGGCAATCGTAAAGCGAGGCACCACTGTACTGACACCAGACACTGATTTAGAGCTCAAACAGCTTCCTCAGTTTTAGATGGCAAGGTGAGGGAGAGTTGGTTTGTCATCTACATACTGCTGATGCTGAAGTCAGAAACACCAGACAGCCCTCCCACCGTTTTCATGTTGATGTTAAATAACATAGGAGACAAAACAGAACCCTGGGAGACCCCACAGGCCAGCAGCCAGGGTGTCAAACAGGAGTCCCCAGCACCACCTTCTGAGTTCTCTCCTCTAGGAAGGACTGGAGTCATCATAATCTTCCTCAGTTTTAGATGGCAAGGTGAGGGAGAGTTGGTTTGTTATCTACATACTGCTGACGCTGAAGTCAGAAACACCAGACAGCCTCTCCCACCATTTTCATATTGATGTTAAATAACATAGGAGACAAAACAGAACCCTGGGTGACCTCACAGGTCAGCAGCCAGGGTGTCAAACAGGAATCCCCAGCACCACCTTCTGAGTTCTCCTCTCCTCTAGGAAGGACTGGAGCCATCATAATACAGTGCCTCCAAGACTCATCCCAGAGAGAGATGCCAGAAGAGTAACATAGTCGAGATAGATATTTGAATGATTATACAGTATTTTAAAATGCTTTCTCTCCACCTCACCATGCAGGATAAACCCAAGTCAAGACCCCACTGTATTTTAAAATGCTTTCTCTCCATCTCACCATGCAGGATAAACTGCTTCACAAAACTCACCTGTATGAATATAGCTGGTATGTGCTGTTAAACAGCTGAAAGGAAGTGATACGATCAGTAGATGACCTCTTCAAAGTTGTCTGTAAACAGAAAACACAAACGGACACTTCTTGAGTATTCCATGCAGAGAACAGCAAAAACAGAAATGTCAATACTGCCTGAGGACTACACTGAAATGAAGCGCCTTAGGTTATGCTTCATGACCACAAAAACTGAGCAGGAAAAAATTAATTTTGAGCATCCTCCTTCTTTAAAAGCGAAACAGCTATTGTACATTTCTTTCCTTGTTCAGTGCATATCAGTCACCTTGCAGAAATGCCAATTCTTTTATCACGGTACTTTAGTTCACAGAAGCTCAGACCTCGTAGCTGGAACTACAATACTCAAATGTTTATTTTCCTCTAATTCATCTTCCAAGCCTTCTTAGCATTCTCCTCTGACATTTTCTTCTCACAGACATCACATATGATGGAGAAGGAGTCTTTGAATGGCTTCTACAACATTCTCCAGCATGAACTCAGAGGGAGATATGAGCATCTACATACAGAAGACAAACCTGCATATTCCCAAAATGTGTGCAGCTGCAGTGGTACGCTCAATGCCAATATAATTATAGTTGCATCCTATCTGCAACAGTAAGGCGGGATAAACCTTGCCATGCAGCCTGTCAATTTTAATTCAAGTATGATTACTTGCTGTATTAGCAGTGTGGGCCATTGGGATGATGGATATACTGTACTTCCTTGACATATATCTCCATATCATGTTTTAGGAATATATAAAAAGAGAAAACTTTTGGTTTGCTTTTGTTTCAGGTTCAAGGGGGCTGTCACTCCTCTTTAGTTCTGGGGTCCTTTTGGCTACCTAGTCTTTTGGCACTCCAAAGGGCCCAAATCTTTCATGTACTCCTATATCAGTTTTCTTCATTTACATCTCTGGTGCTGGACCAAGTTAAGCCCTAGGCAATCATCTACTCCAAAAGCAGTCAACACAACAGCAGAACCTGAGAAACAAAAAAACATCATCAGACCTATGCAGCAAGCACTTTACATCACATTACATGCTAAGCAGCAGCATTGGCAGAAAACAGCAGGGATGAGAAAGAGCAGCATTGTGAGATTCACCAGATTTCATCACCACTCATCAGACCTATAACCTCCCAGATGAGGAATTCTGAATGAAATGCAAGTTTTTTTAACTCTGCGTATCAAAATTGTGAATCTGTCATATTTCAGAGACTCTCCATTGTAAAGCCATGAGAGACTCCAAAAATGAAAGAGCCTCTTTCATGTCCTCTCCCCACCTGGTTAACTTGAAAGTCCCATCCTTATGTTTCCTTCTCTTTCTACAACTTTCTGCAATGCCACTAAACAACACTTAAGAAATTACTGTAATAAATAGTGAAGCACCATTCACCCATGAAACTAGAGTAGGACCACATTCTGAGTCAGTGTTTCCTATTGAATTGTTGTGACTTTGTATTAGTGAAACGGTGTTTGTGTTTCCTCCTATGGTTTTAACGTTAGCTCAAGAATAAGACTTCATTTTAAATCTTCTCTTTGGAAAGCACTGCTGCCACGAGTCTCTAATGGACTCTTTTTCTTTTGCTTAAGTGCTGAGCACACGCTCAAACATCACATTTGATGACCAAAATCAAACTGAAGACATGATGGGGTTTGTAGTCCCCTTTGTATATAGCAGAGTGCACAACGGCAGAGACTTAACTTGAATAAAGTTATTTATTTTACAAAAGCATGAGTCACATTAAATTCATGTGACTTAAATATTAATAGCCCAAAAGATATAACAGCTTTTCATTGCTTATTATTTGCTTTTAAATTAGTTGCTTGCAGCCTCTGTAATTTCAGGGCTCATCAATCTTTTAACAGTTTATCTTCTGTTTTCTCTCATCCATGCAGACGTCTCTCACTTCACCTGGCAGTCTATTTTCATTCTGTTGCTTCGTTCTGCAGCTTCCTTCCTTCTTCTGAAGCTTCCTTCCTTCTTCCTGTCTCCTGCTGGTCTGCTTCTTCTTCTGCTCATGCTTTCACTCACACATGCACACATATGTGTTGCTGCTCCTGCCGCCTTTATACTGATCTTACTCAGAGGCATTCAGGGTTTCTCAAGGTTAATCAACTCATCAATCTCACCTGCCTATCTTTCCCTCTTGTAACTTTACTGAAATAAAATATAACCCCAACAAAACATATCAATGATAACAGCGAAACAGCAAAATATCTGATCGTTCATCACAAGGGGAAAAGGGACTTGCATCCATGCTACCTCAGTGCTTAGCCGAAATGTAATCTGAATTGATCCACCTCCTAGGTCCAGCATTCCTACAGATTTCTTGCCTGGAGCATTTAAGCGACCTGAAAAAGTTTTCAGAAAATAAAAAGAACACTTAGTCATAAAATCTACATGTTTTGTCAGCATAAACACATTATTGACTTTCCCCCATATTATCACAGACTGGCGGGCTTATAGTTCTCACTTGCCCTCTGGCACATGAACAAGTCATCAGTGGGAAAGTGAGGGGGAAATATAATATCCTGCTTGCATTCTAATTGTACAGATAAATAAGGTAGAAAACACAAGTTTGGAAGCTGCCTGTTATTGCAACAAAGAAAATACTTACACTGAGACACCCCAATGGATTTTGAAATATTTTTCTGAGATTGCCCGATATCATTCTGGTATTAACCCTTTACTGGGATATTGTCAACTGTGATGAACCTAGAAAGTGTCTGTCAGCTAAAAACAGACACTTCTGTGATTTGCCCTGCAAGTCTGCCTTTAGGTTGGTTCGTAAGAGAAATTGTACAGAGCGGTTCCCAGTGAAGTCTGACATGTATGCCACACTGAGCAGTATAACAAGCAAGAATTTTGAAGACACATTCTTCGTTCTAAATCTTTACCTCAGGTAACTAAGGCTGGAATATTATTCACAATTATGTAGGAGTAACACGGTTGCACTGAATTTCAAGTAAATATACACATGATTGCCAATTTGCACATTTAGAAAGGACTACAAAATAGAATGCAAAACAAATTACAGTACTATGTACTTCTACACATACCTGTTAAAAAATTGACAGTAATCCATGCTGAGATGCCTACATTTTTTAAAAAACAAGTAAAAAAAGAAATTATACAGATTTTCACATTTTCCATGTCTATTTTTTTTGAGGTATTTTAACTGATCAATGATAGAGGAAGAAACTTTGTGCACTATAGGAAAAGCTCATTGTAAATGCCATCCTCGCTGCTGTTAGAAAACAGACTTCCTCATTCTTTGAGGAATACATGCAAAACAACGTTTTTCTGCCTCTGGCTCTAGCTGGTCCAGAGCAAGTATGTATGGTGTACATACTTTTGCTCATACTCAAGGTGATACCTGAACAAAGAAATGGTCATGTGATAAACCACCCAAGCAGCTGCTGAAATAGAGCAGAAGGTAAACAGAAGGCACCATATTAACAGGATGTAGCCCTGCCCTACATTCCCGGTAACAGAAACGACTGCTGAAAGCTCATGGCCAAACGATAATAGCTGTGTAGAAACTGGAAGGAACACACTAAAATAGCCACACTGAATGCCTACATTTTTCTCTTGTCACTTGCACATCTCACATACTTATTCCCTCTTCACCCTCCCTGCTCTAACTATAAAATATCTCAGAGCTGGAAGGGACCTTATAGAATCAAGTCCAGCCCTTCTCAAGGAAGCACAGTGTGTGTGTGTTGGGGGGATCAAACTTCCGATCTCTGGCTCCACATAAGATCAACATGCAGTGTTGACAACCGCCTTTTTACTTAGTTGTTTTGTAAAAACTGTTTGAACAAAGAACGCTGCACACGAGTTTGGCAAACAACTGAATATGAGCAAAAATCAAAACAATTGTACAGTATTAAGTCAATGAACAAGAAATTCAACTTACCTTCATATGTTCCATCCATTATGGAGACACAATCATCGCTTACCAAAAATGGAGACTCTTGAAACACATCCTTCACCTAAATTAGAATTTAAAGTAGCTTTATCCTTCCCTGTCCCAGAAAAGATTAAGTTATTTAGCATAAATGTTCTGACTTTTGGCAAATACACAGAGAATTACCATGATTTTCCTTTCATTTAAATGCAGTTCTACAGTAAACACTTCCTTGTGTGTACCCTAGGAAATGATATCATATTTCAGAAATCTATTTGCGATTTTCTTATGTAAATGAGCAAACCCAACATTGTTGATAGGGATTTTTCCCTTTCTGTACTTTAGCGTGAAGGCAAGGAATACTCAGCTTTTGTAAAGCAATTAATTCACAGTGTTTCACTACATGTGACTCTCTGCAGGATTACTTAGCTTGGAAATTAGTTGACAGAGAAGAAGTCACAGCATATACAACAGCTAACCTTGACTACATGTGCTGTATAACACCCATTCACAGCTGCTCATTCCACCATTTGTTTTTCTTTGGTGTTATATCTGAAGCAGACAATAAGCTTATCACTTATTTAAAAGTGCTGCTTACTCAAGTGGTGAAAGATGTCTGATTGTCACAGCACCTGAAATTCCTCACTTCTGTATTTTGTACTTAGTGAGCTTTTTTTTCTGATAGATCACTGCAAAGTACATACAAGCTTGCTTTGGAAGTCTGACTACTGAAATACAGTATGCATCTCTTAGGAAATTGTCCAAGAAAAAACATTTTAAACATTTTAATCACAGGAAAGCACATCTAGTTTTACCCCAGCTGTCAGATTCATTGCTGAACTTGAAGAGAAGAAAAAAAAAGGATGTATTGGGGGAAGGAGACTAAGGGCAACAGAAACACAGAGGTTTATGTGCTACTCCAGTCTATGAAACCACAGTTTAGTTTTACATTTGTACAATGCTACTGTATGGATCTATACAAATACATCTGAGGGTATTCAATCCACCAAAAAGGCTTTCACACATAATCTAGAAAAATCATATTCATGGTCAAGAAGAGGTCTGCCTGGAAAACCACTCTAGTTCTGATTGTTTTCTTCTTTGCTATATAGCCAGCATTTCTGGGTAGCTTCTGGAAGTGAAGGATTAGCCAGTTATATACTGTTGCTCAGGGGCTGCCCAAGTGTACAACACTTTTTGAGGAGGCTCCTTCTATGTTCCCCAAATGCTTACTTAGCAGTGGAAACTCACTGGTGGGTTGCAATGGCAAACTACTCCTTGAACATCTCACATACTTCAAAAACCAAATTAGGGTTTGCCATAAATCAGAAGTTACTTACTTGATTGAATCAATCAATATTTTTGTTGTTATTTATTTGTTTATAAATATTTATTTATTTAGTCATTCATCCATTTGATTGATCTGTATACTACCTAGCTAGCCTATGACCACTCTGGGTGGTTCACAACATGATCAAACAGTAAAACAATACTAAAAATGTAAAATATAATTAACATATAAGCATCATAATATAAAGCAATAATTAAATAGTTACAAATTAACAATTGCACATTAAGCATTAAATATTTTAAAAGTGGTAGAATTGACTCAGTGGCTGAAATCTTCAACAGATATCCATAGATGGAAATGCCTGTTTAAAAAATTAATACTTTAAAACTAATACTTAATTTAAGAAAATAAAGTTTTGTTTTAAAAAATTAATACTATACTTTACAGTAAAGTTCATCATCATGAGCCATCTAGTCAATTCTGATTTATGGTGACCATTTTCAGGGTTTTCCATGTAGAGAATACTCAGAAGTAGTTTACCATTCCTTTCTCTGGGGGCGTCCAGGGACTGTGCAGCTTACCCAAGGCCACTCAGGCTGGCTCCACTTACAGAAGGCCAAGAGGGGAATTGAACTCCCAGCCTTCTAAACCACTAAACTATCCAGTCAGCTGTAAAGTCCATAGCTGAGGATATAAGGGGGAGGCGGCAGCAGTCCCAGAATTGCAACTGTAGATAAAATCTTTATTGGCATAAGGAAAAATTGGACATAGTCACGATGGTTTGTTAGGTAACTACATATATAGGCATAAAGAGGGCAGAAAAGTGTTAAGACATCCTTAAAGGGACAACGGTTTGTCTCCTAACAATAGTATCAAGGAAGTCTGAGACTCTTTCTACCATGTCAGTCATCTCGGCCGCCAGCATATAATGAACTTTATCCAGATCTGACCTCCCTCCCAGCTTTAATAAAATGGAGGCTATCAACCTTGATCGGCCGATCGAGTGAAGCGGGCAGTGCAAAAACATATGAACAAGAGTTTCCAATGGTGAATTAGGGAAACAGTCGGCCGCCAGCATATAATGAACTTTATCCAGATCTGACCTCCCTCCCAGCTTTAATAAAATGGAGGCTATCAACCTTGATCGGCCGATCGAGTGAAGCGGGCAGTGCAAAAACATATGAACAAGAGTTTCCAATGGTGAATTAGGGAAACAGCCTGTGATGGGACTGCACTTCCCCTGAAAGAAGAGATGCATAGTCTGGAGATGCTCCTAGGTTTACAACTGACAATGGTGGCATGAGCAACCTCCAGGGTAAGGAATAACTTTGATTATTGTACCATCTGTGGCTGGTACATTAGCTATTCCTAGACAGAGACTTGATGGTACATAACAACAGGAACAGATCAAGGAGCATTCCCAGACTACAAACTGTATCTTTCAATAAGAATGCATTCCCATCCAGAGACAAAAAAATAATTCCATGTGGACCTCAGTAACATCAACACCTCTGTCTTCATCTGGATTAAAATTCTGCTCATTCACATTGATCCTTGTACAGCCTCCAGAGATCTGTTCAGGACAAGCTTTATATT